CCGTAATACCACCTGCTCGATGAAATGGGGTGACCGGAGATGACAGCCCTAGTAGGCACGTTTGGTAGGTTTATTAAGTCTACCTAACGACTGTCTTGAGATGCCTTCAATATTTAAGATGAACACTCCTGGGCCAGCAGGTGGCATGATGATTAAAGCGAGATCCCACATGTCAACTCCACAGTCCGAGTTCCAGACTCAGCAGCTTTGAAAACACACCAGGAGTGTGTATATGTGCCCTAAATCCTGAGGAGAATGGAGGGGAAAGGCTATAGAGTGGCCATCCCTCTCCTGCCATCAAGTTCCCTCCCTTCTATGTCTCAGGTCTGGCCAGCACATGGACCCTATACCAAGTTAAAAAAGAAGGAAGTTCCAACAAGTTGGTCCTGTCTGAATACAACAGAATCCATTACTAGGGCTCTCTAAAACCACAGTTAGAACGCAATGTTCAGCCTCGGTATCAGCAGATGAAGCAAAACAGTCTGGCCAGAATGTGTGTGTGTGTGTGTTTGTAGAGAGATTTTTGTTAAAGCGTACATGTGCACACTGGAAAGACAGAGAGACAGAAAGCAAATCAGCCCCTAGGGTGATGACCACACCACAATCCCTTTTCCTCCAAAATTCTCCTCTTGGGATTTTGGGCACACACGCCAAGTGTTTTATGCAACTGGGTCCATGGCTTGAATCGCAGTCAGCTATGTGGGAGTCCAGCAACATAACCATTTCACAATGTGCTGGTCCCCAGAAAGTGCTTTTAAGAATACAATTCTAGGGGAACCAGCAGTTAGCATAATGGATATGTTGCTGGACTCCCACGTAGTCGACCGCGGTTCGTGTCCCGGACCCAGTGGCTTAAAACTCATGCCGGGCACGTGTGTGCGCGTGCCCAAGATCCCAAGAGGAGAAGGGATTGCAGCGTGACCATCCCCTCTGGGAGGTGATTTCTCGCTTTCTGTCTCTATGTCTCTCTCTGTCTGGCGAGCGCACGCGCCCTATAGCAAAAACCTCTAAAAAAAAAAAAAAAGAATACAATTCTAAAGCAGCCCTCACAGGCTCCGCAGTGGAGCACCATACTCTGCAATGCTGAGCTCACATGGAAAGTTTCCAGGTTCATGTCTGAAAGCTTCCCTGAACACAATGGGTACATGCACGCCCATGAGCCAGGCTGGCAGAGGCTGGGGGGTAGATGGCTATGTGAAGGTCCTGTTAGCATGCACCTAAGTCTCTCTCTCTCTCCTCTTATACAAGAAGTAAGTGCATAAACTGTAAACAGAGCTTTTTGTATTGTTCTATTTTGTTTTGCCAGAGAGAGAGCTACACCCACGGTGAGAGGTAAAGTAAGAAATTACAACCCAGAGGGGACAGTGGCACTGCAATCCCCTCCTCCTTCATTCTCCTGGATTTGGAGTGCACACACACACACACACACACACACACACACACACACAGGCACTTTGTGTGACTTTGAGGTTGCCAGGTCCTAGGACTTGAACTGCAGTCAGCCATGTGGGAGTCCAGCACCTTAACCACTATATTAAATTGTATAAAGTTTAAAATTATAATGCAGGCCCAGGTTAGAGAGAGTTTATATCTAAGAGAGACACGGATCTTCTCAGAGAACACCTGGTATCTCAGGGACCTGGCTGCCTATTCACCCTGCAGGCTCCAAACTGGAGCTCGCACTACACCAAGGGGAGAAACCGAGGCCAAGCCCACAGTCCAGCCACTGAAAGGTGCCTGCCTTGACTCCCAGTAACACTGGGCCCCGTGACCAGGCTAGCCCTGGACACTAGACCTGCATCTGAGGTCTCTGTCTTCCACTCAGCTGTGAGTTCAGGCTCCGCCTGATGGTGGTTGAGGTCTGTAGGCTAGTATGCTGTACATCTAGCCTTGGTGGGTAGAAGGATGTACCACCTGGATTTGTGTAAGCACATGTTACGGCAGCAAATGAGGACAATGACAAAATCGCCTGACCACACATTCCTTTAAATGTATCAATTCATTAAGTGATACAGGACTCTCACAAAAGAGGTTTTCACAAAGGGGATAAGGAGAGGAGAGGGGACACTGCTCTTCAGTGTCCTCAGTAACATTCCAATAAGGTACCTAGACTCCACACAGCTACATTGTTCATCAGTGTCCCAATAACACTCCTGTGTGGTTACTAGTTTCCAGTCACAAAAACACACACAAACAAAAACCACTATTATATTAGAGGTCAGCACTCTATTTCTGTAAAGGTTTGAGTACCCGACACGGCAGCTTAAACTCATACCAAGCACATGTGCGTGCACACCCAAGATCCTGAAAGGAGAAGGGACTGTGATGTGGCAATCCCACTAGGGCATGATTTCTGTCTTTCTGTCTCTCTGACTCTCTGTCTGTCTGTCTGGTGAACACACATAGCCTATAGCAAAATTCTCTGTATTCCCCAAATAATAATACAATTCATTTAAAAAATACTCCCAGGTGATTTATTGGCTGCTAAAGTTGAGAATTCCTGTGCTGGACCAATCATCTATGTGAGTAAAGAAAACTCACAATTTGCCATAATGCTTGTACGTCTGCATTGACAATGCCACCCTTCTAAACCTTACGGTTCAGAAAAAGAGACAAAGGCCTCATCACAATCATCCAGCTCTGTGTGTGCATGTGTGTGCGTGTGCGTGTGCGTGTGTTGGCATTTTGTGTACCCTACAATCCCTTAACTTGAACCTAAAAAGACCAGACTCTGGAACATATACGATCAGGAGAAATGCAAAGAAGTTGTAAAGTACACATTTTACAAAACACAGTTTCTCTGGCCAATAAGCAACCACTAGGTTTAAGCTTGTTGAAATAAACCACCGAATATCAGCCCAACGTAACTGCGAGATGAGAGGAGACAGGAGAACCAGGGAGAAGAGACAGGAGTCTAGAAGAGAAGCAGAGCCTGCCCTTCTGTCCTCGTCTCACAGATGGCTGGTTTATCATCGCAGCGAAGGCCCAACAGGCGCCCTGTAACAAGCCACCAGGGCTCAGCTCCTTGTCTAACGGAGCAGAGAAGGGCCTGAGACAGCCACTGAGGAGACCAGTTGTAAGTATCTTTCTCAAAACTTTCCACTGCATTTTGACTTTCTTCTCCTCCATGGGGAGAAAAGAAGCTTGCCTTTCTCATTTAGCTCACGGGAGCTTAACAGGCCTTCCCCCACCCCTGCCCTTCTATATCGGGAAAATCATCAGCGGCCACCCTTGCTGCCAACGTTTTGAACTTTTCAGCTGATATGAAGACAGCTTAGACTAGGCTATAAATGGAAACCAGGGATAAAAAAATACCCACACCAGGGAAAGAAAAGAGAAGGAAGGAGACACGATCTTGCATTTCTGGAAAGAGCATGCATCAGAAACATCTCTTCAGATATTTGGCAATATCTCTCAAAATGTAAAAGACACGAGGCCTCAGATTCTCGATTCCCCCTCTAGGAATTTACTGTATGGAGACCTCCCACGTGGGCAAGGGTCTTCATTGCAGCTGATTTTAACAACAAAAATGACAAACAACCTAGAGTCAATAAAAAAGGTGCCCAGATAAATGTTAGTTTATCTTTAAGAGGAATTAAATATGGCTACTAAAATAAAACAGAGGCAGATTTCCAGGTGCGATATGAAAACTCAACCTGTTTAATGAAAAGGACTATTCGCATTGGTGTAGAGAAAGAAGGAAATGGATTCTCCACAGGAGTGTGTGTGTGTTTGTGTGTGTGTGTGTGTGTGTGTGTGCGTGTGCGCACATAGGTGTATAGCACACATATATACATGGCATTTCTCCCCATCAGCCCAACAGACACTGGCTGCAGGGGCTTTGCTGCAAGGGTGGGGTAGGGGTGCAGCTGTCCTGTGTGCTGTAGGGGTCTTTTGGGTTCCCCAAACTCCGCCTACTAGATAGTAACCAATGTGACAATTTAAAAATGTCTCTGGACATTGCTCTGGGGTTAAAATCACTCCCTTTCAGAATCAGTGGTAGGAATCCAGATGAGCTCTCTGGGGAGACTAAAAGCAGGTAGCAGTGGTTACCTGTGAGAGGGGGATAGACACAGGTGACCTGCAGCCACAGGCAGACTGGCTTTTCAAGAAATGTCCTGTACTTTGGAACACTGTACCATTGGCATCCATTACTTAGAAAAACAACATAAACTTTTTAGAAGGAAAAGAAAATGCAAGGACTTCTTTTACAGTTTAAGAGAGAAAGATAAATCTCCCTGTTCGAAGGCTGTAGGCAAACCACAATATGGACTTCCAGAAGCTATGAGATGATCACTGTTTCAAGGGACCAGAATCATTCAGACAAGGGACCCCCCCAGATGCTGTGCGCCGATCAAAGCCAAGATCTTCCCAAGAGATATTCTCATTCAACAGAAAGAAAATCAAGACGACGCGTGGAAAAAATGGGTCTGAGCGCTGCAGCCTCGCTCTCAGAGAATGCCTGAGAAAGCAAAGCAGCCTTTATTCTGGGAGAGAACAGCGGCCTCCTGTCAGGGGAGCGGACAAGCAGGGACAATTCGGAGTGCTCCGGGTGTGATGAGTCTCCTCCGCACTGCTGGCATCTTCAGCAGAACATCCAGCGCATTTTTGTCACTACCAGGACTACTGAACTGCTGGGCTCAGTCAGCCCAACGTAACTGCAAGATGAGAGGAGACAGGAGAACC